GAGTAGTAGAAGAATGGGCGCAACATCAACTTTGACGCAATTTGCAGTCTACTATTTGGCACAAATCGTTGTCCTTGGGCAGACGGGCGACGAGACACGTCGTTTGAATTTCTCTGTTGATTTTTCAAATTATTTACCAAGGTTTTCAAAATGATGATAGCCCACAGAGCCACCGAGCCACCGAGTCACACTTTTGCCAGCAGCCAAGAAGCGTTGATGACTTTGGTTTGTTTGTGTGCAAATATGCAGCTCGAATGGCTCAGGTCTTAGTACTGCCATCCTTATATATGTTGCTGACGGCAACTTAAGCAGGTTTTGCTGTTTATACCAAACTTTGCTTAGTTCGTCCTATTGAAATTTATAGTTTTAGCTGCTTTAGCTTGACGGTTTCATATAACACACAACTAATAGGTTTTCTTTGCATGGACTTTGTTGCTGTAGTTATTATTGTTTTTGTTGTGTCTACTCTGGTTGCCTGCTCAAATTTACTTGGCTTCCTCGTGAAGTAAACTTCAATAGTCGGATAGGTCTTTTTTATATTTGTGGTAAGAAACTTTATAGACTGCAAAACATGTCTAAAATATGCAAACATTTATTTGAGTCCAGTACGGATAATTCAGAACAAGAACAGAACAGTATCTTTCTGTCTTTAAGTACATTATAATACAACAACTTTGTTTTACTAAATATTACCAATATATTTCTGATGCGCTTCAGGGCCATCATTGTCTGCGCTCTGACGGGGAGATCGAAAATTTAAGAAGCAATTCCCATTTGAGCACCGCATATTTAGCTTATAAAATTAAGAAATTATATGTCAGTATGCAATTATTAAAAAATATCGAGCAATAGTAGGAACTTTTTTTGAGTAACAACATTGTCCGCACTATATTATTTAAATCTTTTTAGAGCCCAATTGGTCGGCCATTAATTAGGATCTTCAACTCGCGGGGAACGCAGCCGCTAATTATAACATCCCCAAAAGTATGCAATGGTGAACTGCAGCAGTCACTGCAGTGGGGCAACTTTTTCCGCTACGGCTAATCCACGCAAAGTTGGCTTCCAACAGCGGTTGGCAAGCGCGCCATCAAAAACTGTTATGGAATTCATTTAAAGTTGAATTCAAAAAAGTCACTAAAAAAAATTGCAATGGAAAACAAAAGTTTTGTTCTCGTAACAAGGCAGGCAGCCAAAGTTGGCAGTTGATGAACTGCGACATGGACGTGGTCACATGAGGCAGCCGGTCCATTGTCCGTCTTTCGAAACCGGTCAATTTAAGCGGCTTAGAAGCCGGTATATAGAAATTGTGAATACGCTGCGTATGCGTTATATTTTTGTGAATTTATTTTTGTTTTTGCTCGTAATCAAATTTACATATTTGGGCCACTGAAATTAATTATAATGCCGCCACATACAAAAACCGCATTGAGAGATAAGGGCAGAACGAGATAAGAAGAGAGAAAGAGGTGGAAGAGAGAGAGAGAGAGAGAGAAGAGGGGTTGTAAGCAGTGTGAGTAAGAGAATGCTATGAATACGAAATGCTGTGCAGCTTTTGGCTTTGGTTTTGGCTTTGCGGCTCAGCGCCATCTCTTTCTCCACTGAATGTGTTGGTAATTTCATTTGGCCATTTCATTTACCCCCGCGCACCACTCGGACACAAACACACACATGGCAAAACTCATTTCATGGGTCACAGGGTACAATCATATGAGAGGGCAGCAAGCAAGCAACAGAACCGGCCAACACAAAAAACCTGGCCAAAAATTGATTATGGCGAAGGCTGCAACGCCCGAGGGTCGAGTAGATGGCAAACCGAGCAACTATCATCAAAATCCTATTAGTTGGCCTTGCATTGGCCAGAATACAGCTTTTGTCCTTGTCCAGTTGCCTGCGTTTTGTCAGCGTTTATTTGCCAAATTAATTCCCAAAAAGGTAAGCCAAACTTGCGATTTGAAACAATCAGCGCTGTCAAGGTTAGAGCTGCCCCCTCATCACCATTTTACAGCCCCTCACACACACACACACATACACGCACACGACCACAAAAGAAAAGTCTTTTTGTCCTTTTTGGTCTACTGCAACTGTTGTTTGCCCAGCGGGCAGAAGACGCCACCTGGGCTAGCACACAATTTGTGACAATTCCTTTTTGTGGATTAATATTTGCTCTGGTTCTGTCCCTGTCCCTGTCCCTGGACCGAGCCCTTACCCTATCCCTTTTTGTCTCTGTCCCTCTTCCTGTACAATCCGCTTGACTACACCCTGGGATCCTGACCGGTTGCGCTTTTCCTATCCTTTCGTTAGTTTCTGTTTGTTTCCACACTTTATTTAAATTAACATGCGCATATTTTTTAATAGTCTTGTGTGTGCCCAGCAATTCCGAGATCTGCTGAGGGTGTCTCAAAAAAGGTATTTGGACAAAGGGTTGTTATTGTGATTTGAGTCCCAAGATAATTATTTTTAATGCTGTTCTCATTGTTTTAGAACTTTATAATGTTTTGGGTCACCCTGCTCAGTGTTGCCAAATTATTATTAAGATTAGCAAAATTGGCCAACTTTTAGTGGGCTTACCTAAAAAAGTCTCTGTGAACTGCAGGGCTTGCAATGGTTTAAGGTAGAAAAAGAAATTCACCCTACTCAGTTTCTGGTTAAGATGTTAAGGTTTACTTCTCCAATTGCTGATGCCTTTCGAGCCTGAGCCACTTTAAAAATATGTAAGAGGGGTATACATTGCAGTCAGAAGAGCGCATTTTTGACCCCATAAAGTATATATATTCTTATTGATGCCGACAACAGTCAAGTCATTCCAGCTGTCTAGCCAACTGTCTGCATATGGAACTCTAAGCCTTTAAGAACCAGAGATCTGTCATTTGAAGTATATACTCTTGTATGATTATAACATAGTTAAAATTAAATGAGAAATCGCATTCTGACTTCGTTTTTTCGTTTTTTTTTTTTTTTTTTTTTTTTTGAGAATCGTGCACATCATGATAGACAACGTGACTCGCGCCCATCTCTACTCGACAGCATTCGCTTTTTAACTGAATAAATATAAATAGATAACCGTGTTATGCCCTGTTAAGGAGTACCGAGCATAAAAAGCAATTCAATTAATAAATATTTTTAATATTGCAACTCATATGATTTATTTTTATCAAAAAAAAGTATTTCCTCTTTTTTCGCAAATGAAATCATAGAGTCCCTTGCAATTCACTCTAGCAAATTATTTAATTTTCGTAATTGCACTCACGATAAATGTTTTTACATTGGAGTAATTGAAAAATACGCTTAGCAGCCAAGCGCAACAAGAAATACTTAAGCAGGACAAATGTGGGCGGCAGCATATATCCATTTAAAAAGTACATAAGTAACGGCGTTGCTACCGACGATAAGAGATACCAAAATTTTGCTTTACCCGAGTGCACAGAACTTTAGACGGTCACGACGAAGGACCTATACCACGAATACTTGGACACGGGAAAGTCTAAACAACTGGGTCTGGCAAGACTTACTGTAAAAAAAAAAAGAAAATAATAAATAACGTGGTCGAAAAATGACTCTTTTTACTCCCACAAGTGAAGTTGCTACTGATTAGGTGATGTCTGGTGGGTATGACATCTATCCTGATATATGGCTGAGCATACATGAAACTCCTTTTTCTGTACATTGCACAATGTCTGACAAAGTTGGCGTCGTTTGTTTTGGTGCGCCCTGTGCTTCTGGTCAGTTTTCTTGGCGTATGCACTAAGACGCCACTTGAAGGACACTAATGCGCCTACCGGAAAACAAGAAGGATTTTTATAGTGCCTTTTGCCTTAAACTCATGTAGCTAACTTTTCTGCAGCACTTTGACCACAAAATTATTTATTTTATATATTTTATTGTATTTAATGAATGAAGAGGAAACCCGTTTTACAAAACAGAGCTTTGGCCAAAAATTATCATAAAGACTTAAAATTTAATGAGCAAGTTACAAATATTTATTATAATTTCAATACATAAACCTGTTAAACTGCAAATTTAAATATGGCCCTTCGTCCGTCTGTATATGGTATGTTAACAGATATTCCAATTTTAAGACTATCTAGATCATTAGCTTTTGTTTCGCAAAAATAAGTTATTTTACAGAAGTTATAGTTGTTCAATTAGCTTCAGTTTATCAATCCTAAAACGTGCGATTAAAGCTGGTATTTGAATTGTTCAAGATGTCTTAACGACGACATTTTCTGTTATGAGCAAATTCCAATTAATATCGAACTACTCAAGCATATAGATCTAATAAAAGCGTTAGGCTCTTAAGATATTTTAACCAAACTCATCCAATTTGAGTTTAACAATTCTAATATGTCAAAAATGCAAATCATCATCATAGTTAAAGTCAGCCAATATATTATTTTTCGCTTGATATCAGCATTGACCAAAATATTGAGTATGTTTGCAGAGGTCTTTAATCTTTGGAGCCAAGATCAATGTTCCTTCTTGTGTTACTTGTAATTTATTTAATTGGCAGTGGATAACTATAGATAATAGGTTTAGATTGGTATATAATCTACTCCAAGATTTGTTAGTGCATCAAGTTCAAGCCCAAAATGGGAATTTGAATTGTAGAGAGCAACGGTTCGGTGTCAAAATCAAAAACAGAATTAATTGTGCTTGTTACTGATGTCGCAATCCGAACGGCTACCGAGTGTCAACACCCTGCGTACACTTGCGAATTTTATTGGCATCGAATTATTTCCCCACTAAAAACAAGAAAACCGACTAGAAAATCTATGACGAAATTGTAGCGCCAACTGCATCTGTTCTCTCTTGTGAGCTCAGTGGCCCACTAACTGACCAGCTGTTCGACTGTGTGGCATGCACGACGTCGATGCCGGAGCTGACGGCGAAGACGTTGCGAAATTTGCAAGCCGCTCAAATCAAGTTTTCCTCAAGCGGCGCTGCAACGAAAGTGAGGTGCAATATTTGAAATTTGTAAAATGTTTTCCGCGCGTTTTATTTAGTTTTCAATCACTGCTTGCTGAAGCTAGTCGTGTCAACTGCTTGGAAAACTGAGCTGCACATTATTGAGATCGTGGTATTGTCTAAGATGAGAGAGCTCCTAGGGTGCGTTGTGCTTCTTGCATGGGTTACTCGCGTCGTTCGAGGCGAAGATCCTTATTTGACTGAGCCGCGTAAGTGTCAAGTGAATTGTAAGCCGTCGGCCTTGTGTCTGATAAATGCTCAAGTACAGACATTGAACATTCAAATACTTATTTTAAAAGTTAATTTTAGTTGGTTAAGGTCCGAAGTGCATTTACTAAAAGTAGATTTCACTGTTAATTCAATTCAAAAATTCCCAATGACCATTGAAATCAAATACTGGCCTAGCCGGCACGCAATGTAACTAACCCACTTAATGGTTTATGCCAAATATTGCACCACTAAACCGGATTTGTTTCTCTGCATTTATGTGTGTCTTTTTATTTTGAAATTCAAAAAAACTGAACTCAAAAACCAATTTTAATCGAACCGCAGCAGATTACATTAAAGAATGTAAAATAGCCGATAAGAATTTCATCAACTGTTCCACGCAAAGCATACAACAGCTCTTCGACAAACTAAACGACGGTGAGTCGCATACGCCCCTGGCTGTATTCGAATTTGACTAACCACACCCACTGCATTTAAAAGGCATTCCGGGACTGACAAGCATCAAAAGCTTTGATCCATTCTATTTGAATCGCATCAGAATATCACAAGGCAACAGCAATGCGATCAATCTAAAAGTCGAGCTGGCCAATGTAAAGATTATTGGATTTGGACACACCAAGGTGCTAGAAAGCATGTAAGTAAGATCGACGACTTGTTTAAAGCATATTGGACAGATGCCAATCAAGTTACATGTGTTCTGTTTGACAGAGTTTTCAAAAAGGATTACAGCTGGAAGACAACGTTTACGTTGCCGGTCATGAAGCTCCAAGGTGACTATAGTTTATTAGGGCGCATATTGCTCATTCCGCTGAATGGGCGTGGTCAGGTGTTTTTGGATGCAGGTAAGCTTGCTTCTCAATACGTGCCAGAAGTCAAGTGGTCAAGCCGTTCTGTCGCCTCACAGAAAACATGACAGTCACCATGCACACAAAGACGCGACTATACACGAAAGGCGACTTCACATTTTACAATGTGACCAACTGTCGCGTGGACTTCAAAATTGATGGCCTAAAATCGTATTTCTCCAATCTTTTTAACGGCAACAAGCAATTAGGTAAGTAACTAAGCTGTCCTCCAGCATCCCCAGCCTCAAGCTCATCCCTTTCCAGAGGACAGCACCAACAAATTCTTCAACGATAACTGGCGCATGCTGGCCGATGCTCTTTACACCGTAATCACACAGACCATCGAGGATATTCTGCTAGATGTTTTGAAGAAGATATTTCACTTCATACCAGCAAATTACTTTGTCAGCGACATACCCACGCCAGAGCAACTCTATGGGAAAGCAAAGCCAAGGCCAAAGTGAATATTGTTCTGAATTTTGAGAGTTTGTGTGTTATTTATTGGATTTGGCTAGCGAAATAAAACTATTTAAGATGATTCCTGAGGGCTTTCACACGATATTTCCCTGTTCGTCTATTCTTCTCTAGATGTGTTGACAAAACGAAAAATTGATTTTTCTAATTGTAAAATTTGGTTGCACAATTTGGTTGTTTATATTTTCTTTTCATAAATTACGATTTTTGCACCTCGAAAAGTGGGCAGACAAAATATATATCTAAGAAGATGTCCGGCAATGTATTTAAACTACAACGCCTTAATTATTTTATTAATCTAAGTTTGCTTTAAATAGGCCAGACCACACCAACAATTGGTTCAAGTCAAGTACCTCTTATTTACATTCACATTTCTAGCCATTCGAATGATTTGATTTTGTTAAAATCAAACACAATATAACATTTTCTGAAATCGCGGAGATTAAAGATGGAAAATCAAACAATACAAAAATAGAAGCAGAGTCTTAAATATTCATAGGAAAACAAACAAAGCAAGCAAATGTACATAAAAACTTTGTGATGGCTGCTGTGTGTAGGCGAACAGATTATTTTAAATGTGATATTTGTACAAGTAACAAGAATTTTGGCTCTAGACAAATTGGAAAATAACAGAACAGAAATGAATTCCTGGTAAGTATTTAAGAAGACGCGCAGCTCTAGAGCAGCTTCTAATTTCTTTTAACCAATGGCAGGCTGCGTGATTCTCTAAGCGAGATTTTGCGTTCCCATCGTCACACAGACTGCAAGTTTATTATAGAAACATCGACAGGCAGCAAAGTGTATCCCTGCCACAAATTAATATTGAGCTGCGCCTCTGAGGTATTTGATCGCATGCTCTTTGGCAGCTACAATGAGTCCACTAGCGGGGAGGTGAAGCTAACCGATGTTGACCCGAAAGTGTTTGAGAAGTTCCGCGAATACGTGTACAGCTACGATGTTGAAAAACTTCAGGTTTACGACTTTGATACACTTGTGAAACTGTCAGAGTTTGGCAACAAGTATCTGGTAGAGTCCATCAAAGAGGACTGCGTGCGCCAGCTACTGTACCGCAAGGACATGTACGACACAGATGAGCTGCTGCGTCTCTTTCAGTGCGCACACACGCTCAATAGCTCGCCATTGATCGAGCAGGTGTCCCGTGACCTGAAAACTCATGCAAAGAGGGTGCTAAACCACTCGGCCATCTACCAGTTCGGCACAGACGTGTTCAAGCTATACATTCAGGTGGTCGAGGGCAGACTCAGTGAGGCAGAGCGTTTTAATTTGATTGAAATGTATATTAAATTTCATGATCTGGACCAGTCTAACACAGATTCAATCACCACTGAAGCTGATACAGATGAAGAAATACCAACATCAGCAATCAACCCCACGAATGTCAGTGCTTTGTCCGAAGGGGAGAGTAAAATTAGCACGGACTTTATTGCCGATTTACTGGGACTTATCGACTTTACTAAGTTCACGCCCAAGGAATTCTACGAAGGCCCCGGCAAATCGAATTTACTTAACATGCAGCAAAAGTACGAGCACCTCTACAAAATCGCTAGGAACTGTGCACATGCTGTGGCCCAGGAAGAGTTGGAGAACAAGCTGAGTAACTGTTTCCTCTCTCCAACCTGTCACCCAGATCTTGATGTCCAGCGACAATACTTGACTCGCCCACATGTTGCCAGCTCAATGCGACGGTGCGGAACACTTCGCGAATGGGATAACTTGTAGTTAGTGAAATTGGAATGCCAGAATCATAATAGTTAAATTTTTGAAAGTTTTCAATACCTATTTTCAATATTTGAACAACATACATCTGTGACAACAGTATAGATATTAACTAATTTAAATTTAACTTGAACTATAAATAAAAATAATTAAATATAAAATATTATCTAGATGCCTTTCCCTTCAGTTTTTCAAACGGATGCCATTTGTGAAGTAAGAAAACCCCAAACCCACTATCACGATAGTGGAAAGAGAATCTGTCGGTTGAACCAATAATTGTTCTGGAGCTATAATTTGCAACCATTTTAAAAATCGTAGGAAAAGCTATTACAACTGCAGTTCAGAAAATTGAGCCATAAACATGGAAAACCAACTACAGATGGAAGGAAGTTAGGGGTCGGCAAGGTTAACCGCAAACAGTGCAAAGCTAAACCCGCGTGTTTAAATTAATTGCCGCAAACACACCCAAACCCCAAATAAATGCATATATTTTATACCCTGTACCCAAAAGCCATATGTATTTGCATATGTACGCGCAATATGTATTTCAGATCAACAATAATAGCCTAGCAAAGCAAATTCTTGTTCTATAAACGAGTCGATTTGTTAGATTATGTAAGCAAAAAATCAATGGAAACGCAAATGTTAAAATCGTCAAAATTATAATATTATAAATATACATAAATTATAATTATATATATTTTTATTTCCCCGTTCAATTTATATATATCTGTATACTTAATACTTTACAGAGCAAAGAAATTATCGCGAACAGAGATCACGAGCGGCTTTTTTATGAGTAATATAAAAATAAGAAAGAAATTTAAATTTTACAATAATTATATACACGTATGTGTTTGAATATATGGGTATCAGGCAGTCGGGCCCTTTCGTTAGTGGCATTTTTTTGTTGCGCATTGCCCTTTTTTGCGCATTGCCTTTTTGAAGTCTGCCAATAATTTGTGAATGCAGCAGCGGCTGCTGATGTTGTTACCGTAACTATTGTTGTTGTTTTTAATTTACCAGAACCGCATTTAAAGCATTTGACGCAGTGGCCGCCATTACAAATGTCAAGCAATAAGTAAAAATTTAACTCGCGAAACGTTTGCTAACTTTTCCACAGATTGAATGTATATTGTATATTGAAAGGGTTGGTCCTGACCGATCGCCATCAAAGTCATTTTCAAAACTCTACAATATAAATTAATAAATACACTTTTTTAAGTCCACACGCACGGAGATAAATTTGCGTACAATTTGTAATCAATTGTTGTATTAATTACTACAGTCAGATTTTGGGTGGAAAAGTCCAGAGTTTTAAGGAAAAACACCTAGCCTGTACAAAGTCTAGTAAGAACCACTACTATAATATAAACTTTATATACATTCCCAAAAAGTTCCTTTTCTATTAGCCCTAACTACTTAGTTCCCATTAAGTAAAAGCATTCTTAATATTAATATCTAACCCTTACTTGTTCTATCATGTTGTTAAGTCTTTTTGCTCTCTGAGCAGAGTATTGTGCAGCTTGCCAAAGTGACAATTCCTGTGCGTGATTGCAATAAATTTGGAGATGCCAGTAACAAGCGAAGCTCCAAACTGCAGTTGCACAAAAGTCAACAACGAGATACGTAATTCCAGACAGTAGAAAATAGTAAGCGAAGAAAAACCAAAGAAAACCAAGAACCGAAAACCATATTTAGCACGCCGAAGGTTAAATACCCTAGTAGACATATGATGATGAACATATATTTAAAAACAGTAAGGAAGGAGCTTTATTATTGAAGTCAATTTGTAATACTTAATCATATAGCTCCCGAAGGAAACATATATCCCAATATATAACATGCTCTTAAATTTAAGAGATAGAGCTATGCCAGCGATAACTTAAAGCAGCTTTGAAAATGTTGGTTACGAACAGTGTGAATGATCTGAAATACTCTGCGTACTGCAAATGATTTCCATGATACTGAAGTAGGATAGGCAGACAGGAAGAGTTAAAATGATTTCAATATTCGCAGCGAATGTTGCTCAATATTTGCTAAAGCCGCTTTGCGAGCTGTTTGTTTCTGACAACGTGTCCGGATAGTTTTTTTGACACATCAGTCTAAAGGGAAGCAATGCCCCATTAGATCAGATTAGAGAGACCTACCTACGTTCAAAATGTCAAGTCTCTAGCTCTGGTTCTGACAGATAGGCATAGCTAGATCGACTCAATTATTGATATTACTGATACGATATTTAAGAATAGATAATCAGCAACAATCAAACCAACCAACTTCGCGTCTCTCAAAATAGATATAGTTGAGACAGCTATTAAGGCAGCTGTCATTAACTTGTTAATCCCAAAACTATTGTCGCTAGAAATCCATTTTTAAATGTGGTGCCAAAAACATACGCGTAATTAGATCAGCGCCTACTTTGACTCATGACCATAAATTAACTATATAATTATTTTGTCCACTCAGCGTTATGGTCCAATAATTTATAAAATATTTTCAAATTAAATCATGTCATTGCAAACGGTAAACGCATTTTTGTGGATTAAAAAAAAAACACAATTGTCTGCTGCATAATATGTACAATGAGAGTACATGAACTTTAAAGCCCAAATAATAAAAATTTATGGCCAAATAATTGCAATCTCATTAGGACAACCCCGAAACCAGAACATGAACATGACACCAGTCCGAGCCCGGCCAATTTGTAGAGCGCCAGCGCCATTCGGGGACGCGTAAATATAAGTATCCGCATTTTGTAAAATATTTAACAATAATTGAGCTTAAAATAATCGCACAAAATGGGCCGTCCATCGATAAAGTCCGCGCATGGCGAGAAACTCCCAACTGCCCGCCAGTCGGTCCCCAGTTGCCGTGCGCGTTAATTGCACCGATTCTGTCCCTGGACATGGACACGGATTGCGGCGACAATTGTAATTAAATAGACACCACACATGGCCGACGCTCCTGCCCTCTGAAAATGCATACGCTACAATCGACAGCGGCGGTCAGACATGTTCGGACATGAGCTGCAGCAAGGCTCCATGAGATAACTCTGGTGTCTTGTGGCCCGATTTTGTACGGACAGTGGAATAAAAACGAAAGTTCCCTGTAACAAGGATAAAGAATTATATTCGGGTTACCTACGTAGACACATTTATTATTTGCAACATTCTCTATTCTTACTTTTTTTTTTTGGCTATTTAATATAGTATTCCGAAAATCAAATATATTTTTTGTTTCAAGAATTTATTTT